ATATCACATAAACAGCACATATACTGCAGCACTTAACGGCAATGAATGAACCCTTCAATAACTGTAATATAGTGACATAAAATGAATAAGAAAGAAAAGTGCTGATTCAGTTCTTGTATAGTGACCATTGTACTTTGATATTGCTGTGATTTTTGTATTATTAAAATCTAAATTCTAAGTAAGTTACATTTCTATCTTTCATATTGCTGAGCAGTATCAAGAAGAAACCTTTTCTTTAAAAATAAAGCACGTTTCTGACCACTTTTATACCATGTTTTTAAACACAAACAGGACTGCCGCCTTGGTCGCATGGATATGACGTCATCACCCTGTATCCTTAAACTCGTGTGACCTGTCATGTTCTTGAACATTTGTATTGTTTTATAATTGTCCCTTTTGGCCTTGTTTCGTACATATTTATTCACATAGGTGAGCACCGTTAATGCCCGGATGTAACTCCTGCTGAATAAAGCTGACCCCGCTGCTGAAGGACAGCAGACTTTATTACACTGACTGCAAAAAGCCTGGATGTTATCAAAGAAACAGCGTGTATAAGCAATAACCAACACCCAAAGTACATCTGTGTTAAGTAAAACAACAACATTGCTCTTGATTATATGGCTTTTTATAGGTCAAGGATATGGCTAATAGTGTTAGCTGCCTAGCTTCCACACGCTTATAACACAAGGATCTCTTACCGGGAGTAAACGGTTCCAAACTTCTCCAGTCTGCTGCCAGCCATTTGTGTTTGTTTACCGACAGCTGCACAACTGTAACAAAAGTGTATTCTGTCAACATACACAAACAGACCTCCGGTGGGATCTTTTTTTACTTTTTAATGTGTGTTCTTCTTCGTCCCTTTCCTACTTCTTCTATGGGTTTATAGGTAGATCAGAAACCAACGTTTAAAGTGCATACCGCCACCTGCTGTATCGGAATGTTTAGTACCATGGTGCTATATGAATGACTATTTATAAAACAAAACAAACAAACAAACATGAAGAGAGAGAAAAATATAAGTATGGCTGTAGCTTAGAGTTCGATCTTGAGCCAATGTAATTTCGGCTGGGCCTGTTCAAATGTTTCTCGTTAACAAAAATAAAATAAAAATAAATGCCAACTAATATTTCCTATACAGTAAAGACACTTTTTCTAAACCCTTCTCTCTTAAACATGTTCATGTATAAGAAGCTTAAATATTATTTAAAAGATTAAGCACGCTGCATGTTCGCAATGAGTGACATTAAATGTGATAGCCTACTCAGCATGTTATTTTGTTTTGGTTCACAATACATTGATACATTTAGAAACAAAGAGCATACGGCAGAATATGGAATAATGAGCGAGCCCCTGATGTGTGTCTGTGTGGTTAGACTGCAGCCTGATGTGTGTCTGTGTGGTTAGACTGCAGCCTGATGTGTGTCTGTGTGGTTAGACTGCAGCCTGCTGTGTGTCTGTGTGGTTAGACTGCAGCCTGATGTGTGTCTGTGTGGTTAGACTGCAGCCTGCTGTGTGTCTGTGTGGTTAGACTGCAGCCTGATGTGAGTCTGTGTGGTTAGACTGCAGCCTGATGTGTGTCTGTGTGGTTAGACTGCAGCCTGATGTGAGTCTGTGTGGTTAGACTGCAGCCTGATGTGTGTCTGTGTGGTTAGACTGCAGCCTGATGTGTGTCTGTGTGGTTAGACTGCAGCCTGATGTGTGTCTGTGTGGTTAGACTGCAGCCTGATGTGAGTCTGTGTGGTTAGACTGCAGCCTGATGTGTGTCTGTGTGGTTAGACTGCAGCCTGATGTGTGTCTGTGTGGTTAGACTGCAGCCTGATGTGGGTCTGTGTGGTTAGACTGCAGCCTGATGTGAGTCTGTGTGGTTAGACTGCAGCCTGATGTGTGTCTGTGTGGTTAGACTGCAGCCTGCTGTGTGTCTGTGTGGTTAGACTGCAGCCTGATGTGAGTCTGTGTGGTTAGACTGCAGCCTGATGTGAGTCTGTGTGGTTAGACTGCAGCCTGAGGTGAGTCTGTGTGGTTAGACTGCAGCCTGATGTGAGTCTGTGTGGTTAGACTGCAGCCTGAGGTGAGTCTGTGTGGTTAGACTGCAGCCTGATGTGAGTCTGTGTGGTTAGACTGCAGCCTGATGTGTGTCTGTGTGGTTAGACTGCAGCCTGATGTGAGTCTGTGTGGTTAGACTGCAGCCTGCTGTGTGTCTGTGTGGTTAGACTGCAGCCTGATGTGTGTCTGTGTGGTTAGACTGCAGCCTGATGTGTGTCTGTGTGGTTAGACTGCAGCCTGATGTGAGTCTGTGTGGTTAGACTGCAGCCTGATGTGTGTCTGTGTGGTTAGACTGCAGCCTGATGTGTGTCTGTGTGGTTAGACTGCAGCCTGATGTGAGTCTGTGTGGTTAGACTGCAGCCTGATGTGTGTCTGTGTGGTTAGACTGCAGCCTGATGTGTGTCTGTGTGGTTAGACTGCAGCCTGATGTGTGTCTGTGTGGTTAGACTGCAGCCTGATGTGAGTCTGTGTGGTTAGACTGCAGCCTGATGTGAGTCTGTGTGGTTAGACTGCAGCCTGATGTGTGTCTGTGTGGTTAGACTGCAGCCTGATGTGTGTCTGTGTGGTTAGACTGCAGCCTGATGTGAGTCTGTGTGGTTAGACTGCAGCCTGATGTGAGTCTGTGTGGTTAGACTGCAGCCTGATGTGTGTCTGTGTGGTTAGACTGCAGCCTGATGTGAGTCTGTGTGGTTAGACTGCAGCCTGATGTGAGTCTGTGTGGTTAGACTGCAGCCTGATGTGAGTCTGTGTGGTTAGACTGCAGCCTGATGTGTGTCTGTGTGGTTAGACTGCAGCCTGCTGTGTGTCTGTGTGGTTAGACTGCAGCCTGATGTGTGTCTGTGTGGTTAGACTGCAGCCTGATGTGAGTCTGTGTGGTTAGACTGCAGCCTGATGTGTGTCTGTGTGGTTAGACTGCAGCCTGATGTGAGTCTGTGTGGTTAGACTGCAGCCTGATGTGTGTCTGTGTGGTTAGACTGCAGCCTGATGTGAGTCTGTGTGGTTAGACTGCAGCCTGATGTGAGTCTGTGTGGTTAGACTGCAGCCTGATGTGTGTCTGTGTGGTTAGACTGCAGCCTGATGTGAGTCTGTGTGGTTAGACTGCAGCCTGATGTGTGTCTGTGTGGTTAGACTGCAGCCTGATGTGAGTCTGTGTGGTTAGACTGCAGCCTGATGTGTGTCTGTGTGGTTAGACTGCAGCCTGATGTGAGTCTGTGTGGTTAGACTGCAGCCTGATGTGAGTCTGTGTGGTTAGACTGCAGCCTGATGTGTGTCTGTGTGGTTAGACTGCAGCCTGATGTGTGTCTGTGTGGTTAGACTGCAGCCTGATGTGAGTCTGTGTGGTTAGACTGCAGCCTGATGTGTGTCTGTGTGGTTAGACTGCAGCCTGATGTGTGTCTGTGTGGTTAGACTGCAGCCTGATGTGTGTCTGTGTGGTTAGACTGCAGCCTGATGTGTGTCTGTGTGGTTAGACTGCAGCCTGATGTGAGTCTGTGTGGTTAGACTGCAGCCTGATGTGTGTCTGTGTGGTTAGACTGCAGCCTGATGTGTGTCTGTGTGGTTAGACTGCAGCCTGATGTGTGTCTGTGTGGTTAGACTGCAGCCTGCTGTGTGTCTGTGTGGTTAGACTGCAGCCTGATGTCCTTTTGAGCGGATCTAGCGAAGTGAGCGGCCGTGCGTAAATGGCACTGGTTCTCTGACGCGGCACTTTTCAGAGGCTGCAGATGTATCATTAGGCTACTTCCTTCTGATACTGCAGAGCTTTCACGAGCTGAAGGTACATTTCATACTAAAGCAGCTGGGCAGCAGAGCATGGAATGTTTATTTGTAGTCTTTACATTTTGATTGTAGGCCTACACATGCCATGTCTTTTGATGCTACTGCAATGCAAACATTTCCCAAATTGGGATCAATAAAGTACTTTTCTTAACTTATCTAATGTCCCTTGGGAAAGATACTCAACCATGCAGTTCTTCAGTTAGCATGTCAAAGGCATGTAAGTGCATGTAAGGGACTTTGAATACAAACGTTAACTAAATGACATGACATGTAAGGATTATCTACACACAAACACACACACACAAACAAACACACACACACATACACACACACACACACGTGCACGCACATACACACACACACGCATGCACACACACACACACACACCATTGTGTATGTATTGTAGTAGTTTAGGTAAAGTTAGCTTAGTTTGGTTGTTAGTGTCGGGTACTTTTAGCTACATTGATCTGTATAATATGAACTCTCTCATTTGAGATATGTTAATAATTTATATTGTAAATAATTGTTTTTGGGGTGGCCCATTTCATATATATTGAGAATATATGATTGTAGGCGTACTGTATTTTTGATCTGTTTGTGAATACAATGAATTGAATTGAAAAAACAGAATGTATGTAAGGGATATTATAATAACTGAACCAAACCAAACTGTAGTGCATGCAATTAAAGACTACATTAGAGGGCAATCCAAAACAATTATGAAAAAGAATACCATTACTTTGTAACCCAGGGTTGTGTTGTCTCAATGATGAAGGGAATCTCTCTGCCTCTATAGATATTCTTTGTCTGTTACTCTGAATACAGAACACAGTGTTAGAGTAGAAAGACAGCACAGTAAGGATTATTGCACTGAGGAAAAAAAGGAAGAGTGAAAGTGAACTTTAAACTCTCCTTGTCAGCTGACTGCAGATACAATGACTGTATAACCACTTCACTATCAACAAGGACATAAAGCACACCACCTGCAAAATGGAGTATTTATTTGTTATTCTTTACCTTGAATTATTTGGCTCATCATACAGGTTTTGTGATGGGCTCTGAGGAGCTCTGAAACAAAGAGTCAGAGAGTCACCAGGTGACTTTTCAGGTTCCACAACAGGGAGAGTTTTGGAGCTGTGGGACAGGCCGGCTGGTAGGGCCAGGTTGAGTTGAGGAATGTCAGTACGTAACAGGGTGGTGTAGAGAGAGGGACGGAGGGAGGGCGCCTATCAGAGGAGGGACAAAGAGCAAGAAAGGGAGAGAGAGTCATAAATGCAATAATTACAGCTTAGGCAGAAAAAAGTGACGTACTCTGCTGATTCAACTGCGTAGCTAACAACTGTCACACTGACAGCCAACACAACAATTCTCTCTCTCTCTCAGTTGTTGTTTGGATTTACTTTTCACCAGATCTTTTGATTTTTCAGTCATGGATTTGCTCTTGGATTCTGGCTGAGTTTCTCCCATTTTTCTCAAAGTCAAACAGAATTTCCCTGACTTTTCTCTGAAAGTAACAGCAAGCCTTTGCCATGTCTGTGACTGCCCTGTTCAGGAGCAAGTTGTGGCAGAAATCACAAAATGCCTCGGAGAAGCATCCACCACCTGCAGTTCAACCCAGCCGCGAAGATGACGAAGATGAAGATGACACAAAATCGGGGTTCAGCAGGGATACTTGCCGCAGGAACTCTCGCTTTTATCGGTCCATGAGGAAGAAGAGGATCCCATCTGAGCAGCCTGACAGTAAGAAAACATGATCTGAATTTTCACACTGTTTTTTCAACTGTAACTCAAATTTGTGGAACTTTTCTCAACTTTTGTGGCCCTGAAGGGTTTGGTTTCCGGCCCAATTCTAACCAGTGTGCCCATCATGATGAATGCTTTGACAGGCTCCATTGGAGAGCATCACAGCATATGCATTGGTTAAGAACTCAGTTCTGTCTTTACTACTAATCACTCCATTCCCGGAGTAAAGACAACAATGTGTAGAACAACAATGTACTGTATACATACAGTACATTGTTGTTCTACACATTGTTGTCATCTGGCACCTCATTCAAATGAATTGAACTGGAACAAAGGCTTGGTGCTCCTATCCCTAGATGAAAATAGAACCTGAGAAACTAGTTTGGATTGAACTTCACCATTGTCTGTAATGACAGTGCTTTCATTTCTAAAGGTCATGATTTCAAGCTAAAACCAATTGAAGTTTGTATGTTGAATTAAAGCAACCAAATATTAGGTTGACATCAGAGTCTGAAATCATTTGGAAAGTAGTTATATTTGCCAATTTGAGATCAATACTCAACAGCCTTCAGGAAGCAGAATCACATCATCTGAATAAAAGTGATACTTAATGTGCCAAAACAAAGGTATTGTTCTGGTGTTTTTATCCTGTGCATAGTCATCTAAAGGAATGCACCATATTCACAGAGCCACACCACATGCAACAATAAAGTGTTCGGGCTTAGACTTTGCCCGGCATCTCGGAGAGGCCTCAAAGGGAGGGATTGAAGAGATTACTTAATACATAACCAGTCAGCATCAGCCTTACAAATAAAAAAAAGTACACTTCAGTCATAAAAGAGTGAGGCCTGATAACAAAAAGTCCCAGAAATCCAGCCACATGATAATCCATTGACATGGAACAAGGAAACTAAAACCGGTAATGCATTTTCAGAGGCAGTCTCCAGTCCTAATGCTAAATTCTGTTCATTGAATTACATTTCCTGATGTTATCTCCAGGTATCAATTAGACCACACTGTTATACGAATAGTACAGAATTGTGGAATGAGTAATTGCAGCAGAGAAAAGACTGATCCTTAAGAATCATCACCATCAGAATACTTTGATTATGCCTGGGGAGATTCAGTTTCGTGACATTTGTTCCATATTATAATTAAATAAGATAAAATAGAATTAAAATATTTATACAAATATAAGAAGTTAAGCACAATATACAATAAAAGATACAAATAAATAAAAAAGCAAATAGTAAGAATGTTTTGGGGGGGTGGGTTAGTTGTACATCAAAAGAACAGGTTAGTCAGTGTTTTCAGAAGAAAACAGGATTCATGAATAGTGTCTGGCAACAACAAAACTCAAGGTACAGTAAACGTCATTCTGCTGTCACACCCCGAAGAGTTACTTTTTCAAGTCTCATCAAGTCTTCTTGTACTTTTAGTGGCTTTGCCAGTGATGAATAATCAGGCTTGCAGTGTTTCCCACATTAAACTGCATGTTTTGCAGTACGCATAGACTTTTGTCAACTCCCCATGTCTAAACCCATCACTCAGTCATTTTATGATAGAATTCAAAGGTCACAGAGAGAGGGAACGTCTTCTGTAATGAGACACAATTCAAATATGTTGTGTGTTATTAGAGGGATTTCTATCCAACCGTGTTGTATGCTTTTTATCAGACTGTCCTGAAGCATTGATGAGATGGTTTGAAATCAGTTCGAACTAGATTTAGAGCAGTGACAAGAAGTGCATAGGGACTGTGTCTTTACATAATTAGTAAACAGTGATTACAACACAAACAGCCTGTGAAGTGTTGAAACTGTTATCCAGCTTTATCAGATTATTTTACCAACTCAGATTGCTTCCTTGTGGCCCTGTAAGAAATGGCCCTGGGTTTGGAAACATATACAGTATTTAATTATATGCTTTTATACATTAAAATACTGGCAGTTTATAATTATATAGACTGTTGAACAGACATTGTATTTTTCTTATATTTCTTTCTTGTAATTTATTACGGGCTGCTTGATTTATACATCAGTGTATCCTCAGTGCTTTTAGTGTTTTATTTTGTTAACTCCGTCTTTTCTCAACTTTTTCAGAGGTTTTCCAAATAGAACTGTAGATACTGCGTGTATGTGTCACACATGGGCATGTTCAAGTCCAATTTAAACACACACACCCACTTACAGTTGGATTGCCACTAGCCTGCAGCACTAAACAGGTGTAAAAACCACAAAAACACTGGCACATCATTAGCTGATTGCACAATATGAATATGGTTACGTTTTTTCCTTGTCATAGGCTGAAAGCAATTTATAGTACTTTTGGTATCGGGATGAGGGGAATACAGCGGCATTTACAGACGAGCCGTGCTAGAATATGTTAAATGTTTATTGTACCCATATTAATGGCATTAAGTTTGCATTACAACGACTTCTAAAGCATACGTTTCTTTGTAATACTTAGAGCAAATAATCTTCCACTAAAGCTTAATGGTTACTCTGTGATTTGATTGTGTTTTGTGTGTGTGTGTGTGTGTGTTTGTGTGTTTATAACAGGTGATAGAAAACGAAGAAATACTGATTCTCACTGTTTTTCCTGATATACTACTTTTCATAGTGTAGTTTATACCCATTAATACAGTTCATACTTTATGTGTTCTTTATTTTTTATACCTGCCATATTTATATTATTATATCATACCCATATATCACACTGCACTTTACTACTTCTTTTGCACTCTTGGTTAGACGCTAAAGGCATTTGCAATGACAATAAAGTTAAATCTCATCTAATCTAAATACTTTTATTTTTCCTTCCCTTTTTCCAGATCCTCATTTGGACCACAGTCCGTCTAGCAAAGCGGGGCTCTCCCCCCCTAATGTTCTCACACCCAGAAAATCACCTTTGTTGCCCAGGGCTAGACGGTGAGTCCTCATGCCTCCAATGCCCAACCCTAACACTGAACACAAAAACGCCCGTAAAACAAACACGCACGTACAGGGCTTGTTTAAACTCTGCACACAATCCACTTTTTATACATACTACTTACTCTACGTATCGGATCTCGATCAGCACACAAGGCTATCCAGTTTGAAGGTCAACTCATTGAGACAGACAGCCGTCTCCTAATGAATTCAGTTTTGAGCTGAAGACTGTGGTCACAGGAAGCAGAATGCTGAAGTTTCAAGACCCACTACTGTTTTCTTATTTCAAAACAAGCATATATCTATAAGTCAACAAGGATACTACAGTCTGGCTTGTGGTTTTGAAGACATATATACAGATATGAAATATAACACATCATTACATTTTATGACAGTATTTAGCTGACACTTTTATCCAAAGCAACTTACATACACTTCAATAATCACATTCATGCCTATTGGAGAAATATGGGGTTAAGTCTCTTGCTCAAGTACACTTCGACATGTTATGTTCAGGGGCTGTGGACCGAACCACTTAACATCTTAATTGTAGGCATGCCATGCTGAACAAACAGGTTATAGACATGAGTCTCTCACTCACTTCAAGAGAAGGAGTCTGAGGTGAGGGAACAGAGGTCTAGCTTCTGAGTTCTCAATGTGACCATGAAGGAAATGCTAACCTTGTCCTCTCTGCTTTTTAGCATTTCAGTATGTGTGGCAAGCTTATATAGAGAACAATTTGTTACAATGTTGACCCTCAACCATAAAGTGGAGATGATACAAGCTGGTCTTAGTCTGATGGGAAAGAACGATCACGTTACTTTCAGTCAGTTATTCAGTGAATGTTTAACTACAACTTATCAAGTCAAACTGTTCTGAGTTTATCACTGGAAGAAACGTAACGTTTTATAACACCTGGGGTTACAGTAGAGGTTGCGACGGTGAACAGAAGGCAATAACTCCACCAGTTTAAGGGAATAACATACTTATAGATTATACATGGTAGAGGTTTGTCTGATTTCCGCTCTTTAAATTGGCAGTGATGCATGCACTTGGTTCAACTTTCTACAAGTTGCCAACGATAACTGGATTCCTCCAATAAACCCCTATCTGACCTTCATGACAGAAAGTACATGTAACAAAAAAAAGGCTAAAAGGTCAATAAACAACGTTTCATAACTTTCACCCACGCCTCACAGCCTTCGTTCAGCAGAGAGAGCTGGCTCAGGAGTAATTACTTGACCTGTGAGGAACTTGGTCCCATAACACAGTATCGCTGTTCCAATATGATCATCTTAACATCTTAAAGGAAGTGAAGGTCCTCCCTAACCGTTTTTTGGTCAAAGCTCCTGATGTAGTGTTCATTAAGATCCAAGGATAACTGCTAGATTTATTGTGCCAGCAAGATATGGCTCAATATCTTGATCATTTTTGTTGAAGCTGTGAGAACTGTGGTTCGGGATAATGCACGGTTCAACCAATCAGAAGGGTCAGTGCATTCCTTCCCTACAAGTTCACGCTGGTTTCTCGCCAAAGTGTCCTTGGGTGAAAAACTTAAACCATAATTTGGGCGAGAAACCCTAAATTGCTCCGGTAGGCATGTAGTCCATGGTATTCAAGTGTATGTAAGAGATTTTGGACAAAAGCGTAAAGGGCTGTCAACCGATTAACATATTTAATCGGGATTAAGCGCATTACTGTACACATTTGTTATACATGCAAATTATTCAGTCTTTTTTTATCTGTTTGAAATGTACCTTAAAGGGATATTTCCAAGTTTGTAATACTCTCATCACCATGGGAGTGGACAAACAGTGCACTGAAAAAACTGAAACGTTGATACTAAATGTATTATGTCAACAGATATCACATAACTGTATTAGGTTAGTTGAAAACAATAATATTAAGTTTAAATAAAACATATCTGTTTCAACTTAATATTATGGCTTTCAACTAACCTAATACAGTTATGTGAATTTTCATTTACATAATACATTTTATTAAAGTCAACGGTTCAGTTTTTTCAGTGTAGTGTGATGCGATGCAAATTATTTCATGCAGACCCTAGTCCTCCACAAAAAGCTGTAGCCACTCATTATCGATCACTGTTTAAAGTTTGTTGCTTGTGGAATAGTCCATGCGTCTATATGTTGCAGAATATCCAGAGTGGTCTGCTTTTGGTGAGGGGGGCCTCTCGGCCTCTCTGCATGAGCTGGATGGCTGGCCATCAAGTGGTTTTAAGACTTGATGTACCCAGTAAGGGCCTTTTATTTTTCCATTTGAGGTGTGATTCTGCTTGCCATACACAACATGTCTGCTGCTCCATTGCCTCCTGGTTTCCCAAACTTCAGGGCAGGCAGAGGGTCATAATCATAGATTATGTGCATCAAAATGAGTGGCATTAAAAAGGAATTTGTGTTTACTCGTTATTATGGCGTTAACTTTTACAGCCCTAATTACAGTATTAACATACCGTTTTTGAACTAGAAATGCTTCCTTTTAAGAATCCAACCAATGAGTTAGGACACTGAATGTCAAATACAGGCTGGCTGAAGGTTGCTGCACAAAAGCAATGCACTCAACTTTAAACAACTAGACATACAACTGTGAAAAACACATGAAATAGGTAGAGCTACTACAGTTTAGATAGGGCTGCTATAAATGTGATTCTAAAGTGTGTGTTTCTGCCTTCAAATGTAGCCCTCAGCTTTCGCCGCAGCTCCATCATTCCAGGACTCCGTTGCCAAGCAATGGGGAGGCCAGCAGCAGAGATGCTCTGTATGGAAAAGATGCTGTGGATAAGAGAAGAGGAGTGGGAGGAGGGAGGAGTTTGGACATATCTGCTGCCTCCAGCAGCAAGCATCAAAGTTTTACACAAGACATGATCCCTTACCGGACTCACGACATTCATAGCAGAGACATAAAACAGCTGTCTGAGAAAACAGCTGCAGCGTGCACTGTGCAGGAGGTCATAGGGAAGACCATGAACTCACCACGGACCAGCGTTGAGGGAGCAGACTCGGAGAACGCCAAGTTCAGGTCAGATCTAACGACTAGAAACAGAGAGGGGTAGAGGATGGAAATGGAAAGGATTGTTTTTTATAAAGATTAAACTGTGGGGTTCTGCTCCTGATCAGAAATACACTTTGTACTTTTGCTTGAGAGCAACACAATGACAAAGACAATGTGAGAAAATAGGTGATGGAGAGATTGGGCTGTGACTCATTGTGTGGTTGAGTGTTTTTATTTTCCATCCAATATTACAAAGAGGAATCTTGATACCTGGCTGTCTGTGTGCTGGAATGCACCAACAGCACTGCATCATTTTCACATTTGTTTTGTATTTGCACTTTAGGAAATGATATGGTAACAAGGCATGTATAATACATTGGAATACAGTAAACTAAAATACATTTAATAGCTAAACAAATATCCAGAAATCATAAAAAGAAAGCAAACTACACTGAACAAAAATATAAACGCAACACTTTTTTTTTTGCTCCCATTTTTCATGAGATGAACTCAAAGATGTAAAACATTTTCTATATACACAAAATAACCATTTCTCTCAAATATTGTTCACAAATCTGTGATAGTGAGCACCTAAGGTGTGCCTTAGGCTGGCCACAATAAAAGGCCACTCTGAAACGTGCAGTTTTGCTTTATTGGGGGGGTCCGAAAACCAGTCAGTATCTGGTGTGAGGGTTAGGGGTAGGGTTAGGGTTAGGGTAATGTTGTGAATTGAGTGGCCCATGGTGGTGGGGTTATGGTATGGGCAGGCGTATGTTATGGACGACGAACACAGGCCACTCAATTCACAACATTACCCTAACCCTAACCCTACCCCTACCCCTACCCCTAACCCTACCCCTCACACCAGATACTGACTGGTTTTCGGACTCCCCCCAGACCCCCCCAATAAAGCAAAACTGCACGTTTCAGAGTGGCCTTTTATTGTGGCCAGCCTAAGGCACACCTGTGCAATAACCATGCTGTCTAATCAGCATCTTGATATGCCACACCTGTGAGGTGGGATGGATTATCTCGGCAAAGGAGAAGTGCTCACTATCACAGATCTTTTCAGATTTGTGAACAATATTTGAGAGAAATGGTTATTTTGTGTATATAGAAAATGTTTTAGATCTTTGAGTTCATCTCATGAAAAATGGGAGCAAAAAGTGTTGCGTTTATATTTGTGTTCAGTGTAAGAAACAATAAGAACAGTAATGTATAGTTTTTCATTTGTCTTGTTTTTATTTTCTTTATTTGCATTTTAAGAAATTATATGGAAACAAGGCATTTATAACGAAATGAAATTCAGTGAATACTGAAATATAATACATAACTAAATCAAATACATGCATCAGAAAAAGAGAAAGAAAGCTGAAAAAACAAACTGATGAATAATCATTTAGGATATGGTAAACAGATACATTATTAATTCCGAATTTTTTTGTCACACCTAACTGGAAGGTCATTTGTTTGGTAGCATGACTTTTTTTTTTTTTTTCAGGTTACCCAGCAATGGAGAAGGCCCGCAGACAATCTGCCACAACCTCAACATCGTCAAAAACAATGGTGAGGAAAGACACACATATATATTTATATATATTCCACCCACTTTACCACCTCTCTCTTTTATTTGTGAATATATTATAGGACTAAGACTGAACATTGGTAAATCACACACACACACACACACACACACACACACACACACACACACACACACACACACACACACACACACACACACACACACACACACACACACACACCACACACACACACACACACACACACACACACACACACACACACACACACACACACACACACACACACACACACACACACACACACACACACACACACACACACCTCTCTCTAATGGACAACTTGATAAGGTTTTCAGCAGCTCCACTGAGCTGTGTCTGCTGCTGCCTATCAGGGACTCGTTCAGCAAGGTTGAGTGCCTCTCTGAGTTGTGTTGTTCGCTATGTACACAGGATAATGGTTATTTGCATAGATTTGTACAAATGTACTCAAGACGGCAGCTTACCCGCACGAGTAGTATGGTAAACAAATCTAAATCTCAACAAACAGTTTTGGTTTACAGATATTTTTACAGATACTGTTATATGAACAGTATGCACATTTCACTCTCTCTTATGTAAGTCTTAGTCCAGTTCTACGCCCACCAAAGCAATCTGCAGTATATGACTGAGGGAGATTATGCAACAGGCCCGTGTTGTTCAAAGTCACCTTGCCTCTTCATATACACATTGCCAATGTTCCCTGCAAATAGAGAAGCTGTTCTTATCTGCAAGTGTTTTACTTGCAGTTGAATAAACTAAAGCAAATCTACAATCACATGTTGCCACACATGCATTGAAATATGAAGTTGCAGAATGTATTATAAACATTCTTCTCCACAAAATGCAATGCTAGCAATATTACTGACCTTTTGAGCCGTCACTTGTGTCCTTCTGGTTTTGTCTGTTAGCCTCGGGTAGTTTCTGTTAGCTTTTAGCGATACCGTTAGCTAGCTAGCTGTGATGTGCTGCAACCCATTTTCCCCTTGGGGACTAATAAACGAATACTACTACTAGTACTATGGGTTCAAACAGCTCACTATGAATGTTTTAGAGATGGGTAAAGAAGTGTACATTTGTAAGGAGGTTAAATGACGGGACAGACACATTTTAAAATAGATGATCTTTGGTCCAAAGTCACCTATAACATTTACCTAATGTACTGCATATTGCAGTGAAACATTGGCTTGATTTCTACACTGAAAAATGTCAAGTGCAATATTATAAAAACGTTTGTTTGCCACAGTATAAAATACAATGGAAAAAACTCATTGCTTTTTGTCGATCCCTTGTGATGCTAACTCCTGGGTGGGCCTACAAAAAACCTTATTTGCAGTGAACACAAACGATCACCGAACCATCTGATGATTGCTTTGTATTTATCGAAGCGGATATTTATATAAAGATGTAACTTTTCACCCACCTATGCAATATTTATTTTGGATTAATACTATAATTACAAACAATCTGCTTGTTTAGCTTGCAATATTAACCCGTTAAGCCCGCGGGGACCCTGTTTTTTTTTTCACGACACTGTGTCTCAGGGCATCTTAATATTTAAAAACCTATTAATGTGTTATACCAGATTAACGAGAAGAATCTCAGCTAACTGACTATACGAACCATTTTTACCGAAACAAAACACAAGTCTCACAAGAAGCGTTAGCATTAGCCCTTAGCTAAAACGGGCAGATGCTACTTCCGGTGCTAACTAGCAAAAACGATCTTTAAAACTTAATATTTTCTGCACAAACTACATATCATCTGAAAGCTGATACTCCACAGATTATTGTTGTTATAACTATCATCACTGTAGGACACAAACTCACTGAGATATCAACCAGAACAGAGAAAACCATAACAATAATTATGTCTTACCGTTGCTGTTTTGTGATCAAAGCTCGTGTTCAAGGGAATAAAAACGCTTCTTAAGGTTAATCCAATGTCTATTAGTCACTTTAGAATTGTTCCTGATAATCTATCATTACATTCATGGCAGCAGAGTAGGTATAAAGTTTCGCAGTCCCGAGCTAATGCTGTCTCACGTGCTGTTTACGCAAACCTCTCTCTACTTGACGTAAGTGTTTAGCGGGACTTACTAACTGTCACTCGATTCTATTGGCTCTAACGGTTCAGAAAAGGTGTTAATCACCCACATCGACCAATGGGTTCCAAAGGTATGATCCTGCGTAGTATAAACTACGCCCGCTCCGGCTCCATTACGCATTACGCAGCCAGAAGGGACAGCTTCACCACCGAGGCGAGCAGGTGCTAGAGATGCTAGCTGACGATAGCTCATACCAGATGACTCTTCGTCGGATGATGAAGATCTCCTCCAGCCAGACCTGGATCCGGACAGTAGTGACTCGGATGTTGAACTTCCACCACGGGAAAGGTATGTAATCTCTCTGTTTTTATATATTACTTATGTGTTTGGTGGAACTGCGTCACAGTGCTAGCTTAGCCAAGAAGCTACAGGAATGATTAGGCAAAATGCTAAATAGTGTTACTTGTCTTTTTGGAGTTACATTTTCTAAATGAATGGCCAGTGAATGAATATATACATGTGTTTACTTATTTATTTGGTGTAATATTATTCATTTATAGTCCAATATTATCCTTTTTATATATTACTTTTGTGTTTGGTGGAACTGCATCACAGTGTTAGCTTAGCCAACAGGAATGATTAGCCAAAATGCTAAATAGTGTTACTTGTGTTTTTGGAGTTACATTTTCTAAATGAATGGCCAGTGAATGAATATACATGTGTTTACTTATTTATTTGGTGTAATATTATTCATTTATAGTCCAATATTATCCTATAAGTATAAGCCAGTGAATTAATCTAATCTCTTTGTTTTTCCACATTTGTTAGATGAGGAGTGACCCCAGCAGGACAAAGCCACACACCCAGAAGACTTTCAGGGAGCAGCTTGCTGCAGAATTGTTGGAGTTTGCTGAAGGCCCTGCAGAAGGCCCTGCACCTCCACCACCCCCACCTCCTCCTCCATCACTCACATGCATGTCCGAGTATTATGGGGAAGATGCCACCAAGGTCAGGAAGAACTGCAGGAGGGGCCTAGATGCTGGACTCACAAGGGTGAAGACACCTGTGTACTGTAGGAAGTGCCAGGTCCCTCTGTGCTTCACTGTCAAAAAGAACTGTTTCAGGGAGTGGCACGACCTAAATACTGGAACATTCAGGTAGGTATAAAGTTCAGGTAGGTATAACGTTTTGCGAGTGTTTATTTAAAAAAAAAAAATGTGTTGTTTTTATATACCTAGTGTGATTTTATTGTATAGTGTGTTGGTAAAATATTTGTTGTTTTTACAAACCTACAGTGTGGTTTTATTGTATAGTACATTGGTAAAATGTTTGTTTTTACATGCCTATAGTGTGTTGGTAAAATGTTTGAAATAAATCTGCCCCAGTTGGAGTCAAATGTTACCTATGTTTCTGTTTTTTTTTATTGTGCAAGTACACCTACACACAATGACCTACAGTGTGGTTTAATTGTATAGTGCGTTGGTACAGTTACATACACACAGCTACACTTACACATACACACCTACACATACCCACACAGCTACACACACCTACACATACCCACACAGCTACACTTACACATGCACACCTACACATACACACACACACCTACATTTACACACACCTAGTACACACACTCACACACACAAACATATATTTTTCAAAAAATTATTTAAAAAAAAAAAATCTTTTTTTTTTTTTTTGGGTGGAATGAATACCTATAGCAGGGGTGGGGAACCTTTTTCCTCTTAAGGGCCATTTCAATGTTTTCAACATCCTCCGAGGGCCGTACAAATGATTGACCTCTGCTTAAAAATACAAAAATCACAGCCCATTCATTTCACCTTTCTTTCATGCTGTGCAAAGAAAAAGCAACCTTTTAATCCAGATATCTCACCATGACTCGCGCATGCATTCACGTGCACGGTTGTGGCATGACCACCAAAACAGAAAGATATGGACACAAGATGTGTGCAAATGTATTTAGTTTCCTATTCATGTGGACATGAAGATTTTTGCACTTTGAGAGGAACATTAAGAGATCTATGGATATATTTCTCAACACCCATATGAAACAGAACTGTAAGCAGATTTATTTTTCTTTATGGATATTTTACAAATCATCCCCTTTAAAACTGTATTCTTGTTTATTAATAACAACTGTTTGTTACCATCATATAGTATTTTATACCTGTTTACTTTATTCTCTTATTTTTGTATAACTATAATGATCATATAAAGATGTGCCACAGAACAGATCGCCACTGGGCTTACAACTAAGACACAGCCACGCAAAAACTGCGGCATGTGTACGGCTCATAGACTGTATATATAAATGGACGTAGGGTCCGTGACGTCACCCATAGGATTCTGCAGAGTTGCCGTGAAGCCCTTAGTAGGCGGAGTCGGCCACTAACGGCTCGACGGTGTCGTCAAGAGTCTAACTCCCGCCTTCTCCCGCCTTCTCCAAATAAGGGCAAAGAGGCGGAGCCGAGGCGGGACAGGGCGGGACCTGCTGCCAACGAGCGTGACGTTCGAGTCCTAGCTCAGGCTAAGAAGCTAAGCTCACATGCTCTCAGTATCAATCGAATGTAAAACATGATTGATGAAAGTAGTAAATCGGTCAGATTTGACCCGAAGACAACAGGAGGGTTAATGCCATATTCACTTAGTAACGCATGAACAACTTTTACAATATTTCTATATAGTCTGTGTTGGTAAATGTCATCTAGGTTGCACATTTCCTGCTGAAATACATGCATACCAAGTCACTGCGTGGCACTTTGGTTTTGATAAAACAGTGTAGTTCCACTATATAAACGTTACATTCATAATCAAACGAGACAATCTGCAAGATAATTAGCTATTTGGTATTATTCTTAATGCTTGTCATTCACACGTTAATAAAATAAAATAAGTACCGATACATAGCAGAATAATTGTGGCGGTGTTCAGCTTAATAAGCCTTGCTCAACATAATTTATTTAGCTAATACTACAGCGGGCTGCAGGTGAACCAAGTCCGCGTTACGATGCATTCCTTGATCTCCAGTTATAACGCCGGACTCCGCCGCTGGCCGAAGCTAACGGAGCCCCAGGGTGCTAGCTACGGCCGCCGGGACGCGCTAGCGAGCTAGCACCCTGCAGCCCCGTTAGCTTCGGCGGCGTGGACTCCGGCGGCCCACCCCTTTTAATATTTGCTCCCGTTTAGCATTATGGGCGTCATAGCCATATAGTATAAAAGTCTTACCCAAGGCTGAATCATAAACTAAACTGTATATATGTATAAAGGGTTACGTCCTTAGCTGGCTAATAAGCGACATAACAGGCTAAGCTAACAAGCACACAAACACCTGCTAACGGGGTTAACATGTATAATATTATCATTTTACTCACCGAAAAAAGCTGAAAGTAGACTTCTTGGAAGATCTGTTAGTACATTCAAGCGCACAGCACGACATTTTAATTATCTGGTATTTGTAACAATATTCCCTAACAGGCACGATCACCATGAACACAGCTAACGGATCAAGTACAGTAACTACAACTAACTAACGTTGTAGCCTCTATGTTTGTAGCCTAGCAGATTGGACAAGTTGCTGTTAGCTGACAGTGAGGCACGTATCTGTCAATCAAAGTGACCACGCCCTAATGTATGCACAAACTTTAAGACCTAATATAAATATAAAGGGTCGCGTTCGAAAACAATTCACTCACAGATCCATAATCATGAAGGTGGAATCTAACTATATCGATAATAAAATGTATGGAGCCAGGGGTAGAAACATGTTTTTTTCTGCTGTAAAATCGGGCATTTTAACATGGGGGTCTATGGAAATTGCTCCTTTCTGCAGCCATCGCCTATCGGCCAATATATGAACTGCAGTGTGTGGCACTTCCGTATTGGCTTCCCGGCTCTACCCCACAGTTTGCCGCTTGGTACGGCTCCTTATCGGTACTGCAATGTTTGGAAGTGCAGGAGCGACGTTCTGGTGCTCTCCGTCAGAACTGCACCCCAGTCAGACAAGACATATACCACGTGATGACACGTTAGGCTTGTGTTGTGTTCAAGGAGCCTGACCTTGGCCAGGAAAAACAGGCACTCGCTTATTTAATTTTTTTGCGGTCTAGATTTCTTTAATTTTTTTCTTTTTTGCGTGTGTTTATAAATGACCTCGAGGGCCGTACCAAATTGTCTCGCGGGCCGTATACAGCCCGGGGGCCGCAGGTTCCCCACCCCTGACCTATAGTGATGATTCAATGTAATACAATGATTTTTATAGTCTGGTACCTGAAAAAGGTCAAATGGCACTGATGGAACCAAATGTGCCCAAAGCTTATTCTGCCTGGACTTTATTTTCATAAACCTCTCTAAAAAGGTCAAATGTCACTTGTTTTTGCCTCAATCTTGATACAGGGTACAGGGTATATGTTATACTTTGGATTCCTAAAGCTTTTAGGCTACTAACCCATCATTCAAGGTTGGTCTTCACTATAAGTAATGGGTTTTCTTTAGGCGGAGACAGGAATTTACATTTTTTTGCTATGTTCCATCTGAATTTACTCTGACACAGAAAAATCTATATTGATTCTGACACTTCTACATCCAACTCACAGATGTAACCTTGCTTTGATAACAACAATTATTCATATAAACCTTTTAGAAGTGAAGTTATAGTCATTTGTTCTGGGAATGTCATTTTCGAGCCTGAAACCTGAAAAACAGGCTCGGGGTTTAACAGGTTAAGTCCATTTATGGTAAACTATTAAGAAATATTGAATGCATAAAAGCCACACTTCTGTTATGATATTATGTTGTTATAAGCCCATTACAGAACACAATATCATCACATTATTACCAGTCGCCATGACAGAACGGTCAAAATCCACCTGTTGGCAACAGAAAAAAAGTATGGATTTGTTGGTACTTTAAATCTTAGTACAGTAGTTCTGAAGTAATACATATCATACAATTCCTCCTTAGTAATTCTATTTATCATTATTTTACAGTTTGAAGCCAGTGGCTCTTCTGCTATTTCGAGTGGTAATCCAGCCCAATTGTAACCTGACGCCTGACATCATTGTCATTGTAATTTGTTTCTCCAGCCTTCCTATACCAGGAATACCGGGACACGTCCAAGCAGCAGGAGATCGAGCAGCGGCGGCAGCTTGAGAACCTTTCTCCCCGGGTCTCTGCAGGGACTGTGGTGGAAGGGTCCGGTATGGTGTCCCCCCCAGTGTTACAGCTCCAGCTGAGGAACAGTGCTCGCTCAATGAGCCTGTGGCAGAACCTGGACGTGGTGCAGGCCAGCGGTCTGCTCACCCAGCTACTGCAGAAAGAAATCATAATGCAAGAGGTGAGCAAATAGGGAACAGGGTTATATGGATAGGTACAAACGTTGATTTTGAATACTGTGGTCAAGAGTGAGCATACAGTCATTCATTTTAGTATTTGGTCATTAACTAAAGTATTGGACGGAATAAAATGTTGACCTGACCCTTCATGAGGGGAATTGTCCCTACCCCATAGCATGGTAATCCATCTAACAGTTGTCGGGACATTTCACCTAAATACAAACCTCATGGTGGAGCTGGAGGACAACATTATGGAAAGTCACATCCTCTGGAGACCAAGAATGTCTGCACACAATTCTGTGCCATTATTAAATTAGTATTTCACAGGCTGAGTTTCACAGGCTGAGTTGAGTCTTTAAAATCATAAGGAGCATCCTCTGCATGTTTTTACCAAATCTGAAGGCAATCCATCACCTACATGATGAGATGTTTCACTATAACACAAACATGTCATCCTCACTGTGGCACTAGACTCGAGGAACAAATAAAGTGGACTTCATGGTCTGGGGACCATGAATGTCAACAAATGTCCATTTAATAGTTGCTGAGATGTGTCAGTCTGGATATAATTGGTGGATAGACGGGCGACAGACTGACATTGCCAAACATAGAGCCAAGATGCTAGCATGGCTAAACGTGATAATTACAAGAGAAACAAACACATGGACGGGCAGATGCCTTGCTCCCAAATAACAGTGCAATACATCCTTTATGAATATTCTTGTAAACAGATTGAGAACCCACATGGATTACCTCAACACATAAGCACCATATTAAACACCCATCATTAATATCTGGTAGTTTCTCAATGAAAATCAGTAAAATGAAAAGAAAACGACAACATCCTTCTTTATCAGAATGTCATGATATCAATTGTTCACTTGGTTAGTATTAATGTGGCCTTATGATTTTTCTTTTCTGTCTAGGCCATGTTTGAGCTTGTAACTTCGGAAGCATCGTACTACAAGAGTTTGGAAGTATTAGAGGCTCACTTCCTGCGTAACCCAGTTTTAATCAACTCTCTCAGCCAATCTGACATGCATTTCCTGTTCTCCAACATCGAGGAAGTCATGAAAGCCAGTGAAAGGTAGGACATGGTCTTGATTAAAATGAGTTTGATATATGAAGTATGATGAAACATCAAACACTAACCCAGATTACAAACGTTGGCTTCCTATTCCTCGATAACCGTCTCTTAATATCTTCAGGTTCCTGATGGATCTTGAGCACCGAATGGAGAAATCCATTTTGATCTCTGATGTGTGTGACATTGTTTTCTTCCATGCTGTGGAACACTTCAATGTCTTCATCAAATACGTCATCAACCAAGTGTACCAGGAGAAGAACTACAGGCGCCTTTTGTGAGTACCCAGTTAATTATTAGTTACAATGTGGACCAAGCCTTCCTTATAAACTTCCAATGAGTTGGGTAGCAGTTTCTTGGTGGTTTTGACCGATATATGGTATTTTTTTAAATATTGGACAGTATTTTTCTCTTTTGAAAACAGAAAAAAATAATAACTGAAGGGCTCTGCTCAAAACAATACTGTGGCCTGTTTTATTACTGATGAGGAATACATGACTAGAATAATTGAGAGAAAGAATAATAGTCGTCTTCTCTCATAGTTGTTTCTTTATGTCTGTGAATGTTTTCAGTCCGTCTTTTTATAACAGGTTTGTTTTTGATCATAAGAAATGTGATGTTAAGGGTGTGGTGACTATAATGCGCATGTCCCTCTTCATCAACCACACATACCTGAGTGAGAGTTCAGCGTTCCAACGCGCTGCAGTGGAACCAAATGGACCTCTGCCAGTTACTGGAAGAAACTCTGACACCTGTTGGTTAGGGTTTTTCAGGGTTTACATTTTTAATATGAACATTAAACAGCCTGTGACTCGTTCATGATCTAAAATCTTGGAGATTCATTTGTTTACACAACATGTTTCAAGCACATTCAGAAGGGTTTTTTTATAGGCGTGCGATGGCAATTGTGTTGGCATAAGGAGTGGCAAGC